TATAAAAACCATTATGGGCTGGAACAAAAAGATAAAATACAAAAAATTGTCTGAACAGCTCATTAGAATGAAAGCAAAGAAGAATTTACTAAAATTGGGGTAATTTTATTGTATAACAATACCAGCTTTAGAAAAGAATGCCAGAGTCAACAAGTGCAAAACCACTGCTAAGTAATAAAATACCAAGAAACACATCTGTCAACTTCCACTGAGCACTTACTATGTACCAGGCTCCATGCTAATACTTTTCCACCATCAAGGTAGTAGTTCATGTTCTTAAGATTAAGGGTGCAGGCCCCATTTGCAAGATGAGGAAAGTGAGATCAGAGGTCATTCAGCCTGCCAAAGGTCACTCAGCTAGTTAGGGACAGACAGTGATGCCAGACAATGCTGTTAAACTCCATGCTACTGGTTCCCTACAGGTTGGACAGCCCATAAAAATCAAGAAAACTTTCAGAAACCAATAAAAGATTGACAGTTTTGTTTTTCTAACAATAGATTATCATGTCATAAAAGAAAGGGCCTTTTTAATAGGAAGACAGAGGGAACATCTCAGAATAACCCCATGAAATGGCAATGGCCTTATATCAAGATATGCGCACATGACTCTGAAGGGGGCACAACAGTCTTCGTCTTTCTCATTGTACCATAAACCTGTGAAATCTTCACATACCCCTCTATCAATCAGCATTAAAGAACCATCACTATACCCTGCCCTACCATTATAAACCAAAAATTCATTTCATTTCCTATTTCTAATTTGCAGGAATTTATCTAAAACATCACTAAAAAACTGAGAAGAAACTAAAATTAGATTAAGCCAATTCTTAAGTCTGTCCAGGAAAAGGGCATGAGCAGCTAAAAAGCCCACAGAATTGAGTAAACCAAACAAAAGAAACGTTCAGATACTACCATATGTTAACATGTTTTCTTCGGGTCCCAAAGACCTACTGAGAGTTTCTTGGCTGTCAGGAACTCATTCAACAGCCTGACCTGATGGTGCTAACATGTGAATTCTGGGTTCACCCATGACAGTCGGCACTTCTCCTCTGCCACCACCATTCAGAGCACATTCCCACAACACAAAAATGTATCATGAACCTGTTAGGGTAACCAAACTGCAAATAATTCTTCATTAGAATCTTTTCTTGTAGTATGTGTCTTCCTACTACACAGTTCTGCCAGTGAGTAGGAATGAAATGTGGTTCCCATCATCTAAATCCAGCAGCTTCACATTCCTAAAGGCAGCAGGGCTGATTTAGGAAATGCGTCCTTCTTCATGAAACACTTGCTTATCTGAGTTTAGCCCAAATAAAAAGTATATAAATGCCTCATGGGAGAAACTCTGGTGTTATCTATTTCAAAAGGAATGCAATGTTGAAAGGAATGCAAAAACAAAAACCAAACACTCATTGTGCCCAGCATTGTTCTAGGCCAGTAGTTCCAAAGCAGGGGTGATTCTGCCCCTCACAGACACTTGGCAATATCTAGAGACATTTCTGGTTGTCACAACGTGGGAAGAGTTCAACTGCCTTTAGCAGGCAGAGGCCAGACATGCTGCTAAAGATCCTACAATGCCCAAGCTAGCCCCCACAAGAAGGAATTATCCAATTCAAAATGTCAATAGAGCAAGATTGAGAAACTGTTCTAGACTCTGGAACACAACAGTAAACAAGGAAGAGAAAGAAACCACTGCTCCTTTGGAGCCTGTAGTCCAGTGTTGAGAAATATATAATAAATGTATCATATCAGGAAAGTATAGGATAAATTATAATATAATTACAATGAGAAAAACAGAGCAGGGCAAGGAAGATGGGATTTAGGAGGATTAGCAATTATAAACAGTGTGGTCAAGGTAGGCTTGATGGGAATGACATTTAAAGGGAAACTTCAAGCTGGTGCAGGAGTGAGCCCTGTGGCTCTCTAGGTAAAGGGCTGTCCAGGCAGAGGGACCAGCAAGTACAACATAAAAGGCCCTGGGGCAGTAGGCTCTGGAATATTCCTAGAACAGCAAAGAGACCCGCCCAGGTGGAGCAGATGGAGCCAGGAGAGTGGCAGCAAGAGACAAGGTCAAAGCTGACAGGCAGATTGACCATTTAGGCCACCTGCACCATTTGAAGACTCCTGAATTTTACTGAAACTAGGAGCCATGGGAGCTTTTTTGAGTAGAGAACAACATGATGTAACAGGATTTAACACAGGGTTTCTCAGCCTCAGTTGTAACAACTTGGAGCCAAATAACTGTTTACTTCGTGCTCTGTAGATGGTAACTACTTCTGCTTACCAGAGGCCAGTGGGATTCCCTTTTGTTGTGACGACCAAAAATGTGTCTAGATATTGCCAAATGACTTAGGAGGCAAAATCACCCCTACACTGAGAATCCGTTTTAACAGGAACATCATGGCTGCTGTGATGAAAGCACATGAAAGCAAATAAAAGTAGAAAGCAAGAGTCCAGCTAAGAGACTCCTACAATAACCCAGGCAAAGGCTGATGATTTCTTGGACCAAAGTGATAGAATAGTAGTTGATGAAAAGTGGGCAGATTATGGACATATTTTCAACCTCCAACAGATAATGCTGAGAATACAATTGTTAAACAAAATAGCTACAACAGTCTTAACTTTTCAATTTCAACTTTTTCCAACCAAGACTTATAAGAAGTGAGGTGCCCCATCAAAGATTTCAGACAAAAAGCCCTGAGGAGGCCGTGAACAGTGTGTGGCCTCTTTAAAGACATACAACAGATGTGTGGGATGTAAAACAGTATGGGGAAATTTTGCCAACCTCATATATTTCTCCACAGATTTATTTAACTTCTTTATTTCAAAGAGCATGTGTCTGCTCCACAGACAGTTTGACAACTTTTTAAATTTAGCCTTCCTCTCCATACAGGTTCTGTCCCACACCTGTTTCTAGTTTCAAAGTGTGAAGCCATTTCTTCCCACGAACCACACTTGGCCTGACACATGCCAGAAAGCTACCGAGACATTCATTCACCTTTGCAAGTAACTTATTGCCAACTCTGAAAAAGAACATTCATTTGGTTCCCAGAACATTCAATTGTTGGAGGTTATTCCAGATGGTATTTTCTTCACTCTCTCAAACTCATGTAATGTTATGTATCAACTACCATCAAAAATGTTCCAAGGAGTCCAGTTAATTCATTTCATTCTGGACTACACACACACACACACACATACACACACACATACACTCCCTCATTCTGCAATGCAAGCATTTGCTCACAGAAGCAAAAGCAGAGACTGCTCAGTAAAAACACTAGTCCCTTCAGCCGAATGCAGATAAAGCCCCAATGAGCAAAACCAACAATACCCTTTGCACACTATTACTCAAAACTCCCAACCCCCAGCACACACAATCTCTGCTCACACACAAGACAGCCATTATGAAGAGAAATCACCAACTACAGACTGGTTTTATGCATATAACTGCAGAGGTTTCCTTCCAATCTCTGTTACAATCTGCAAAGAGGCTGCTTCAGCAGCATGGTCATTGAGTGTGCTGTTCACAGACTTTCTTTCTCAACTTGGATTCAGGGTGTTGACAAAACCCTAGCAGGGGTGTCCAACCTTTTGGGTCTCAGGGCCACATGGAAGAAGAAGAATTGTCTTGGGCCATACATCAAATACATTGCGACATGTTATCACAAAAAAAACCTCATAATGTTTTAAGTAAATTTACAATTTTCTGTTGTGCCACATTCAGTATTCATAGCCATCCTGAGCCACACTCTACCTCAGCTGGACACCTCTGCGGCCTAAAGTAACATACATGGCTCTGCTTTCCACTAGAGGTAAGTAGTAGTCTGCTGTACTCAGAAGTAAAGAAGATAGCTCCTCATTCCAGACTCAGTTCACCTTCATTCACCCAGATTTCTGGACCCTCCCCGCCCTGCCCTCTACCAGCCAGGCCCATTGCCTCAAGCCCTACCAGCAAGGAGAGGCCCATAGGAGGTTTGAAGTGAGTGCAGAAGCACTCTGAACCTTCCAGTTATATCATTTTATCTTACCCCACAACTGAGAGGAGTGGAAATAAACCCTCTCTGCTCTCACAGCTTCAAGTGACCATACCTCCTCCTTCTTGGTAACACTGAAAATGTTGGAGGCTACAAGACTGACAGAAAGGAATAAGACAGAAAACTGGGATTGGAGGTAGAATAGGAAATGGGCACCGGAGGTATAGAGGGAGCCAAACCAGCGAGTTTGTTCATTCCTCTCCTAAAAAGTTGTTTTAAGTCCCTCGCTAATTAAATACTTGTCACTACCACGTAGGGAGCATCCAATATCCGCCGGTCCCAAGGCTTTTTCTCCTCCAGCAAAGGCCCAGAGCTCAGTGGGTCTCTACTGCTCTAGTCTTTTAACCCGGCTACGGAGACACGCCCACCCTCTGCCCCCGCCCTGCGGCGCGCAGTGTGGTCCCCCAGGTGAGAGGCGGGACTCAGGGAAACTTCACCCGAAGGCAGCCAGAGGCGGGTTTTCCCAGAGGGGCGGATTCCTAAGAGGCGACAACAAACGAGCTAATTGCTTCCAACGCGCAGTGCCTCGATATCCACCAAGCTGTTCTCCTAGTCCTCAGCCAGATGGGTTTACTCAGCAAAGGGTTTACTTGAAATTGTCTTTCCCCTTCCCACCGGGCCAGCGACCCGGCCGCTCTCCTCCTCCCCCATCTCCTCGCCGGGTAGCTCCCCAGCCCCCACCCGGTCTCAGCGGCTCATATACCCTGCCAAGGGTCCCCCTGTCCCGGTGAGCCACCCCGGGCTGCCTGCAGCGCCCCCGAAGTGCATTTGGGCAGAGACCCCCCCAGAGGCGCACCACGCCGGGGCAGACCCCAAATGCTAGAACAATTCGCCACTGCCCCGGGGCAAGGGCACAGGGTCCTTGTCCCAGAGCCTGGGCCACCGGCTCTTCACGCCCCGGGGTGGGAGGCGAGAGGGTACCCCTGCTGCCCGCCGCACCTCCTTCCAGCTGTCACTACTCACCTGCTCTTCAGGGGCTGACTTTTGAGTTCGTAATATGTTTTGGGCTCCTCGTGAAACTCCTCCCCTACTTCGAAATCCGGCACAATCCCCGACTCCGACTGCATGTCTCCAGCTGCCCGTCCCTCCACTGCTCGGAAGTGAGAGTGGAGCCCGGGGGACGGAGGGGAGGTGGCGGGCCTGGGTCCCGGGAGCCGGCGCCCCGCGAAGTGCCTGGCTCAGCCAGCCGCCCGCGCGGCTGCCCCGGCGCCGGGAGTTCACTCTCGCCTGGGGCGGGAGGGGCAGTGGCCAGCGTTGCCTGGGATTGTAGTTCGACTGGGCGGGGCTTTCCGGGCTTGCCTGGGCAGCGATTCCCATGAAAACTACAACTCCCAGAAGGCCAAGCGGGGAAGGGGCAGCGTAGTGGACACCGCCAGGGCCACTCCAGTTTGGATTCACTGTCAATGTCAGCGGCTCCTCTCTCCCTACTTAACTCAAGGGTACAGACCTCACCATTAAATATTAATAAGGATGGACTCAGCGTGCTCTCCTACCATCACCCCTCCTCCCAGCTCAGACGTTTGAAAAGAGATGTCAAGTCCTTATTTAAAAAACAAAAAAATAGTGAGGAGTTTGGCACTGGAAAGTTTTAGCTCTCAAGCCTGCCTTAAAATAAAAGGATTCCCCTCAGCCTGCAAGCTTCCCAGCGCTGCTGCATCAAATCAGGTTGTCCTCAGAATGGAAGAGTGGAGGAACTTGCCTTCACATCGTAATTAAAACATTACTGTGCGTTCCTTTTCCATAATTCAGCCTGAGTTTTTACAACACTATTCATCCATCTGAATGGCTTTCCCCTTTATTCAACTCCACTTGAAAAATTCCTTTCATTTAAAAAAGCACAAAGTAACAAAACAGTGTCGTCACTGTTTTTAATTTCTCAGTGGACTGCGAGTTCAGATAAGATTGTCCTAACATTTCGTGAGTGAAGTCGTGGGGCTATAAACTTTAAAAGTGTTAATCCCCTCACCTGAGCTTTCCAGTACTCACTTGGGTAACTGAAATACATTCTGGGTTGTAGTTCACTTTTGCTTCCAGTCCTTCACTCTGATTAGTTCCAGTAGTATGTCTTCCTTCTTTTAAAAGTGTCTTGAGGCATCAGGGGAGCAGAGAGTTAGAGGATGGCATTTAAAGTTGTTAAGACCCAGAGATGAAATCCTGAGTCCTTCTCTAAAGCTCTGTGAAATCTCGGGAATGTCATGTTATTTGGTTCCTAAAAGCCTCAATTTATTAACCTATAAAACAGGAGATTGGCAAACTTGTTTCCAAAGATGTTGCAAGCCTTGCAGATGCAACAGAAACTGATTTGTGATCTATGAAAATGCTGCTCAATAGTCATTCTTTTATTTATTAGATCTTGAAGATACCCCTTTCAGAATAACATTTCATCTGTGAGTTTCTCCTTTTGGACTTAATAAACTAAATGATCATCTGAGGAGAAAACCCTAAGGAGGCCAGGCTAATGTGTGCCCATCTTCCAGGACTTACCCATTTTGCCTCACAGTGAAACATTTTAATCTTGCATCTAAAAACATTTGAAGAGTTGAGGATCTCAAGGAGATTTGTAGAAAAGTACAAGAGTACATACACCATATTGCAGTAGCCAGTATCAAAATCCCACAATAAAATTTACTTCCCAAAATATTACTTTTAGGCCCTTCAACAACAACATTAAAACAAGGCAAAATATCTGAACTTTCCTGAGGAAAGTGGATTTTTTTGTGCTCATGAATGTGCATCCCAAATTCCTTGAGAGCTGGGTTGCTAGAAATCAGATGTTCTCTTTGTGTTTTACCTTTCTTCTTCCTTCTAGTAGACTCCTGGTCTCCTAGTCTCATCCTGACTCAGGTATAAGTGCTTGAAATGGGGGGGGGGAGTGGGCAGGGCTGATTTTCACAATGGCTTGGGGGTATTACAGGCATTTCAAGTGTATGGACCAGAGGTGCTATACATTTTGTATAGTGATAAACATTGTTGTCCAAATATCAGTGATTCCCTTCTTGAGAAATACTGAAGTCTTCCTAATCTTTTGGTTCACCAAAAGCTTTTTAATCAGAGGAAAGCTATGGACCCTCTCCCAAGAAAATATAGATGTAAATAAGATTATATATGTAATTTTGGTCTGTTGATCACTTGAAGACTATCAAGCACTTCATATAGGAAATGCAGTTTATAACCTCTTTAGAACTGTAACTAAACACTTCGTATGCCATCCATTATATCAAAGAGTGACCTGCTAGACCTAGGGGAGCCAAAACTGACCAAGAAAACCCTGTAAAAAAGCTGAAATTCCTGAATTTACCTCCAACTAAGTGCACCTTCCAGAGAGATCACTAGGATACAAAGCTCTGAGCTGAGGTTGCCCTGAGGTACACACAGATAGCTCTTTTTCCCCCTACACCTTTTCTTTTGGTCTCACTCCACACTTGGTTCAGGAAAAATTATCTTCTTTTACATGTAGCAGGCTTATCAATTACAGTGCCATCTGCTACCCAGTGGGAAATTGTATACAAGCTAATCCTGACCAATCAGTGTACCACATTTCCTTAGCCACAGTGATTTCTTTAGAGATGGACATAGAACCCTAATAGGACCAGAAGTCATCTTTTGAAGTTTTCTGTTAGGACATTTTTATAATGTAAAAATAAAATAAAAATGGGGTACACTTTCTGATAAAGTTAGATAACAAGACACGTCATTCTAAAAGAGAAAATGGACATGAGGAAGACATGGAAGCAGTGTTGCACATGGTATGTTTGAGGAAAGAGCCAATGGAAACTGACTAGGGAAGACTATGATTTTTGGAAGCATGGTGCTTGCTGGAGGGATGAAAATTTAAAGCTAATTACTTGTGGTCACATAAGGAAGCTGATAAAAAATAAGAGTGATTGAGATAAGATCAACAATTATCAACAATCATACAAGCAGATATCCTTAGATTTTTCCAGATATAAAGACAAAAGAACTTTTTTTCTTTTCTCTGGAAAAGTTTCTCTGGACTGCCATACCACTAATCCACATAACAAAAAATGTAGCACTTGACAGATAAGCCCTGTAATTCCTCTTCGCTTATTAATTAAACCCAGGAGTAGATACCTCTTCTTCTTCTTCTTCAAAAGTGTGATTTAAAGTCAACAACTCCATACATTTTAACCAAGGACTGTATCTACTAAAAGTACAAAAGCAATAGTTAGAGATTGTAATTATTTTCACTAATAATATGACCTATGTTTATGGAATACTTTTACTTTTAAAAAATGTTTGTCAGATGCACCTCTTATTTGAGCTTATAAAAATCCAGCAAGGATGGATGGGCAAGGGTTTCCATTTCAGTATGCACTAAATGTGCATGAGATAGGAATATGGCATTGTGCTAGGTACTCCAGCTACAGGAATAAAATGACTTCCTCCCTGTTCTCCAGATAGTCACAGTCCAGGACTTAAGTCAAATCTTGTTACACAATGAGAAACCACACATAAGGCAACAACTGCTAAGCAGCAGATAATTCATGTATGATTTGTACTTTCACATCCATTTAGCTCAATGACTATTTGTGAAGCACCTACTCTGTGCCAGCTATAGTATATGCTAGGTAGAGGGGAGATAGCAGTGATAAGCCATATGGTCCCTGTACTCAAGACATAGTGCTTGCCTTGGTTAAATGAGTATATAAAGTGATAAGGAGGTGGAATGCTACAAGTATCTGAAAAAGGAGCAACCACTGAGAGCAGGGATGGAAATTAAGTGAAGAATTCTTGGAGGAGATATGACTAATCTAGAAGTAAAAAAGAAAAAAGAAAGGAAAATTTTAGGGTATAAAATATAAGAATCGAACCTAATCAAGCTGCTAGATCTACCCAACAATTTACAAAAGAAAAAAAAATCAAGAGAGGAACATGTTAATACCACAAGGATGCAATCCCAGAAATTGAGAAATTCTATAAGACATTGAGAAATTCTTCAAAAAAATACAAAGCATGAAATAAAGAGGAAGAAGGGATGCTTATAGATTTTTAAAGATTTAAGAGACATGGTAGATACTCAAAGTATATCACAATTAACAAATGAACTGGAAAAAAGACAAATCACTCAAATACATTATGTAGGCTTTATCTGGAGCATGATTTGAACAACAAATTTTCAAAATTCATCTTGGAGAAAACTGGGAGATTATGAATGTGAGCTAGAATTGGATGATATTAAAGGATTATTGTTAATTTCATTAGGTGTAAAAGAGGTACTGTGCTTATCTAATTCATTAAAATTCTTCTCTGATATTCAGAGTAAAATATTGAAACTGGGTGGCATCTTATGGCAGTTGACTATGCTACTCTCTTTACTTTTGTGCATGTTTGAAAATTTCCATGAACAAAATAAAACTTTGAAAAGTGAAAGAGAGAGGAAACTGTCACAATGCTTTTTAAAAGGTGGATAATACATCAATAAAGAGGGAAACCTAGGTAAACATGCCTTGCCTTCTCCCACAACCACATCAAAATTACAACTAAACTATAGAACAAGCAGCATTGAGAACCACCAGATATCGAATTGAATGGAAGTCCTATGAATAAGGAAGAGTAAGTAATTAAAGAGGAAACTACACTGAGACTGGTAGGAGGGGTAGAGACTCAGAACAGGCTAGCCCTACACTCATGTGTGGCAGATAAAAATTGGGAGGGAGATCTCAGGAGTGAAGGGTCCAAATGCCACAGCAGGACCCCCAGCCCAAGGTTCCATTCTAGAAAGATAAGTCCCCCAAACTTATGTCTATAAAAATCAGTGGGGATTCAGGCTGTGGAAGACAGAAACTGCTGGACTCACTGGCAGTTCCTCTTAAAGGGCCCACACAGAGACTTACTCAGACTCATGCCCTCTGAGCTCCTGCATAGGGGCAGAAGATTAAAACTTACCAGAGACATATGGAGAGGCACTGAATCATCCAGAAACAGGGTGAGAGCTGGGGAGCAGCTTTCTCCCAGACACAAGTGCTGGCAGAGACCACTGTTCCTTTTTGAGCCTTCCTCTCACAGAGCCAGCAGTCAGTGCCATATCTGAGACTCCAGTAATCTGACCCTCACTCTTCACCCTGCCCTGTGATACCCTGATACCCTGAGGTGATACCCTGAGGCCCTGTCCCACCCAACTTTGTGGGCCCACTCAAGCTGTTTCCAGGGGCTTTTCCACACACATGCCTTGTCTTGGCTCATGCTCAGACTTTCCTAAATTCTCTCAAA